ATATTAGTCGAATAATCTAGACATTATGTCTATATTTATTTTAATCCTTTCAAATTCACTTAAGTGCTTGGGAAAATAAAAGGAATGAGAAAAACTGTCACCTTAATGAGTTTAATGGCAACATTAATAAATTTGTCTGTGAATTTAAAAGGATAAAAATAGACATAATTTCTACATTATTCAACCAATGAAGATATGCTGAAGTATATATTATGTATGTATGTATGTATGTATGTATGTGTGTGTGTATGTATATATATATATATATATATATATATATATATATATATATATATATATATATATATGCATATATATATATGCATGCATGTATATGGCTTGAGTAACAGTTATCAAGCCTGGTTTTAATTCCAGTTGAGTTTGTTCATTTCATGCTCATTTCCTAAAGCAAGTTATGAATCTACTTCTCCCTACACTATCCTGCTGATGGAAGATTTTGGTAATGAGCACTTAAGTCACATCTGTTTAACTACCTTACCTGTCCAGGCAATAGCAGCAAAAAAATCCCTATTACCCTTAGTTAATCTTGACAGGTGTGAATAAGAAATATATTTGCCACATTCAGTAGCCATTTCAAAAGCACTAACACTACAAAAAGTTATTAGCTCTAGAGAAATACATTACTTTGACATGTTTTTTTTTTTTTTTTTTTTTATTCTCTTTAAATAATGAAAATCCAATTTTTCAGTTGGGCAATGTCCTATCAAGCTGCAATAAGAAAAATTGTTGTTTTTTTTATGATGACAATGACAAATTATTTTTGTGCATTTAAAAATTGAGTGTTTTTTCTTTGCTTTTTTTTTTTTTAACTTGTCAGAAAATGGTGCAAAATGTTAACAAATTCCTCTCTGCTTCATAACCAGTTGTTATTCTCCTTGGACTCAAAACAGAAGACCAATTTCCATCTTAAAATTATTTTTTTTTTTTTTTTTTTTTTTTTTTTTAAACTATTTCCTCTCAAAGGACAGCCATATTTTTATGAATGATTTTAAAATAAAATTTATGCAGAATTTAAGTATATAAAAAAAGACACCATTTTTATTAAAAAGAAAATTATTTTTGGAAAAGATCAGCTTCAATTAATAAACAAAATGTTGCCCTTTGACTTGATCATCTGTCATTTCATTGATAAATTGTGATAACTACAATTACTTTATTTTGAATTAAAAGTATCAAAAGGTTTTCAGTTCTATTTTAAAAATAAAACCCACATTTACCTGAAATGAATGAAGCCTTATTGGCAATCTTTAACCTTCCTGTCTATAAAAACAAAAAACAGTGTTTCAAAAGGACAATTTTTCCATTGACACTGATATTGTTTTAACTACCTTCACTCCTTGGTAATCTTTGTTTTAAAGTGCAAAAATTAGAATTGTAATAAAACCTAAACATGATGAAAGGGAACTTTATACATTTTATTTTTTGTTCTTGAAAACTTAACAAAAGTATTAAACACCATTAGATTGTTCAGTCACAAGAATAATTTTATATCTACAACATTAAAAAAATAATACTAAAAAGTAATGCAATATTTATCATTTACCAATTCATAAAGAAATAAATATGAAAACAGTCTTCATTTACCATTTTATAAAATCCGAATCAATTGACAATTAGTTGATGTTTTGTCAACCGTTTCAATAAAGAATCTAAATAGTGTAAATGACTAATGAATAGTGTTCTTGTTAATTCTCAAGAACAAAGAAAATGTATAAATTGACTTTCATATGTTTAGGTTTTATTACAACTCTAATCATCACTTTTTAAAACAATATTGCCAAGGAGTAAAGGTAGTTAAAATAATAATTGCAGTGGGGGGGGTATCCTTTTGACCTTTTTTTTTTTTTGATTAGATTAAGAAATTGGATTATACTTTCTTATTAAAGATTCTTTTTTTATATATATATATATATATATATATATATTATATCTTTGGATCTTATTGAAAATCGCAATATCAAACTAGAACCAACATATTTGGTTGGATTGATGTCACATGACCTTGGTTTCAATAAATATTTAGCTCTATTCTGATATTGAGCGTGAATAAGACCTATATATATATATATAATATATATATATATATATATATATATATATATATATATATATATATATATATAGAGAGAGAGAGTTATTATTATTATATTATTTATTTTTTTTTTTTTTTTTTTTTTAGAAATTTTATAGATGTTTTTATTTCTAACATGGAATTCAAAAGTGGCAATTTGGAATTAAAATTGCATTGGAACTGATTCCCTACCCCCACTTTATTTTTCTAAACCTCCTTTAGTTAAAATTATAAAACTTAGACAAAAAAAAATCTGTTTTCAAAAATGTTCTTTTGCTATATTTGATCTTGTAACACTTTAATCTATCAATAAATGGCAAATGTTTCAGCTTGATCTAATTAATCAAAATCCAAGTTTTTTTTAGAGTTTGTCAATTTGTTGATGTCTACAGGTGAAACTAATTGCCAGTATATGTATATATTTACATGGGAAGGTTTTTATCATTTTCCAAAGAAATTTTCATAGCTATAAGTTGGCTTGCAGTTACTGATGGATAACCTCATCAGCATTTGTTTTTATTGTTAATCTAATATTATGCTGATTCACAGTGACTTTTCTATTTGCTGTTGTTATTTTCCCAAAAAATAACATGGGTTTTTCTGAAATATTACAAGCTCTTTTTTTGTTTTTTTTTGTTTGTTTTTGTTTTTTTTTTCTTCCTACCACTGAAATGGGGGAGCACCCCATTTTCTAACAAATTGGTTTTTGGCTACATCACCTGTACTGCTCTAATGTTTACTGTTATTTTTTGTTTTTTTTTTATCACATACTCTGCCGGTAATGTTTGTAGAAAATACTAAAAAAATTTTTTTGTCTTGATAAGCATTTTATGGCAGTTATAAACCATTTCCAAAATAGGACGATAATTTACAATGTTTTTTGCTTTTGCCTCTTCCCCCCCTCCATTCTTTCCATTACCATGGAACATTCCATTTACCCTCTGACATATTTGGGATATTTTGTTTTGTTAGAGCGTATTCAGGCATATTAAAAGGATATGCATAACAAAAGAGGGGTAACAAAAAATATATATTACCATAAATTGGTAATACTTACATAATATAATTATAAATATATTTTATTACCAATTTATGGTAATTTAGATTTTCGTTAGAAATTGTTATGAATGTCTTAATATATGCTAGGTACCTTCCCCACCACCAAAAAATGCAGTGTCTAAGTTGTAAAATGAAAAGAAAAAATTCTTGAAGCTCTTATTTTAGTTTTAACATTTCCAATAAGCAAAACATGTATTTAGCTGTATTTAACACTGAATTTAAACAGATTGTTTTTTTTTTTTTTTTTTTTTTTAGTAAAATTGAGTAAAATTGTCCACATTGAAAAATCTGTCATGGCAACATAATTCTCTTTATTAAAAAAAAATCTTTCAAATATCAAACATACTTTTCTAAAATATTGAGAAATATTAACTGATTTAAAGTTTAATTATTTTGAATTAAAACAAACATTTTCTAAAGAAAGATTTCCAAAAATAATTTTGTTAATTTCTGAATAAGTACTGAAAATTACGTTAAAATTTATCTGATTTTTTTTTTTTTTTTTCTAGAATTTTCAAATTTGTTTTGCACTTCAAAATGACTTTAATTTTCCATATTAACACTAGAAAAACTTTTTTCCCAAAAAAAAAAAAAAAAATAAAAACTGATTGGGGAGAGAGATATCCATCATATATGTGCATGTTTTAGCAAATCTTTGGTGGTACCTTTTTTTTTTTTTTATTATATATAATAGATATATATACAGAGATATATATAGATAGATATATATATATATATATATATATATACATACACACACTAGGAACAGAAAGAATGGACATTTTCTACCAGGATCTTCTTGTGTTGAGAGTATATTAAATGTTTTTTTTTTTTTTTCTGTTTTTTTTTTTTTTTTTTTTTTTTTTTTTTTTTTTTTTAGTTTACCCCACCCCCTGCATTTCCGGGAGATTCTTTTCAAAAAAGCTCAAAAGCCTGCTACTGTGGTTTTTCTATGTGAATGCCTATATTTTTCAGGGATATCATCTGTGTTCTTGTGCATACATGCAAACACACATCAATAACAATTGCATATACATTTATCTGGGGCCTTGCCTATCCAGTGGGTGGGATAATTGCATATTTCTCCTACTGCTAACAGTGGTCATTGCTCATGTCCAATTAAAAACCAGAATTTGAAACTTTTTTTCTTAAGGCATGTTGACCCTGTTCGTAAGGGAAGAGTGGTGCAAATCAATCTTCCTTCCCCCCCCTTCCCCAAAGTTATTTTTCTTTGGTTTTGTGCCCCACTAAGCTCGGTTTTATATATATATATATATATATATATATATATATATCTCCCAATCTATACACACTGCCAATCATATCAGCACAAGACATCATCCACCTTGTGTTTGCTTCATCGCCATCTCTTCCAAACATCAAGAATCATTACAATAACAATTTCTCTGTTTTCTAACCTTCGACCTCTGCTACCAAATTGAGAAGGATTGAGAAGGCTTCGAGGTGAACAGTCCCTCCCCCTTAACTTTTTTGCCCTTCTTCATTCATTGGCAACTTCCATTCTTTGAAAAAAAATTTTTCTCTTTGCAAGGGAACCAGAATTGACTTGTATCACTCAAACCAGCAGTAACTGATAAAATATTTTTTTCCTTTTTTAAATCTATGGTTCCACATGTATGTCTGGTAATAAATCTCTACGTATTGTACATACATTGACTCTCTGTTTTTTGTTTTGTTGTTTTTTTATCATAATTATTCTTACTTCTACTTGTATAACTCCATCTTCCAACAGAAAAACAGATTGAAAACAACCTGGATGCATCCCCAGTCTAAATATTGGTACATCATTGTCTATGCCATAGTGTGCCAGCATGACCTGAAAAACATCATGCTTACCAAAGTGATGCCGAGTGCAGAATGTCATACCAACCATTACCTTGTTCACTGCAAACTAAAGCTCCACTTTAAACTCGAACTAAGAAAAGGAGGGCCCTCTGTAAAAAGTTCAAGGTTGGCAGTTTTCACTCAGACCAAAGCTAACTTCCAAGCAGCACTTGAGTCAAGGCTTGAAGATGTGAGCATCTCCACAGATTCCTGTTATAGACAAGCGTATGGTTGCACGAAAGAAATACGACAACAGCAGAAATAGATTTACGTGGTTTATTTCAACAGGAACGTGAGGGTTTGGGACAGCTACCTTGTGGTAAAGTTCATAAGCCGGTTTTCGGATCTGGTCGATCTCTCATAGTAATTCACACATGTTGACGGTGGTTGGTGCTCTCCTGCTGACAGCTGCTGAACGTGACCGGTCTCCTTTGTGGCCACCTGTTGACTGCCTGTTGAACTTCCCTGTGACCCCTTTTATAGCGTTTTTTTATGGCTTAACTGGCTCGAGAAATGAAGCAAGTATAATTAGGAGGGAAGCATTTTTATTGGACGAAAAATAGAGCACTTTAAATATTATTTTATTTTTTCGGCCGAACACGGTGTCGGAAACATTTGTGAAGAAAGATAATGGTCATTTTGTGACGGGGCTTTGTCCCGTTCACATCCAGTTCTCGCTCTTGAGTATTTGCCTGTAAATTAGCCGAGATATGTCTTATTTTATTTTATAACATTCCTCTCTTGAAACATTTTGGGAGAAACTCAAAACTGGCATGCTGCAGACGTTCAAGGAAGAACAAGGACTGGTTTGATGATAACAATGTAGAAATCCAAAAACTGCTGGAGAGGAAGAGATCAATTCATCAAGCCCACTTAGCTCAGCCAGCTTGTTCTGTAAAAAAAATCTGTGTTCTGTTTCATATGCCATGACCTCCAGCACAGGCTTTGAGAGATTAAGGAGTGATGGATCAAACTCACTGAAAAAAAAAAACTCAGCCTTATTCAGACACCAGGGGCTTCTATGAAACTTTAAAGGTGGTGTATGGCATTGGGTTCATTCCTATGCGGAATGCAGACGGTAAAATGCGCTTTACAAACAGGGCATCCATCCTAAACCACTGGAGCATTTTGAGGCCCTCTTCAGTGCTAATTGATTGGTCTGTGAACCAGCAATTCTCCACATTCCCCAACAACCAGTAAAAATGGAAGTAGATGAGTTGCTCACCATTGAAGACACTATCAATGCCATAAAGCAGCTAAAGTGTAGCCAAGCAGCAGTAGTCAATGGAGCCCCACCTGAAATCTGAAAACATGGGGGTCCAGTGTGGTATATGAAAATTACATAACTGTTTTACTCTGATTTTGTGAATATACTGATATAGCTTTATAAGTGGATATATCCATAATGGCTTAATGTTTAATTGGTATTTTTCAAAAAAAAAAATATATATATATATATATATATATATATATATATATATATATATATATAAAAATATAAAATTAACTGATTTAAAATATGGTTTCTTCACTACACAGTAATAACCATGTTTCAAAAACCAAAGCTAGAAACTTCAAATTTAATTATATAATTAAATTAAAAGCATTAGTTCTGTTTCATCTTCAAGCGAATTTTGTCCATAAGGTTTTTTTGTTGTTGCTGGAAAACTACCACAAGTTCTCTGTGATGAGGTCATCATTGTCCTGTACAAGAATAAAGGGGGGGACAAAAATCTGGCTTTCTGATTCCCGAGGGGTTATTATTCTGCTCTCCACCGCAGGAAAAATCCTTGCAAGGATCCTGCTGAACAGAACCTGCCATCATTTGAAGAGTGCCTTCCACAAAGTCAGTGCAGCTTCAGAACCAACAGATATGGTGTTTGTTCTCTAGTAGATGCATGAGAAGTGTAGGATCATAAAGGGGGTGTATGTAGCATTCAATGATCTGACAAAAGCATTTGACAGTGAACAGAAAAGGAATGTGGCAGATCATGGAGCAACTTGGCTGTCCTCCAAAGTTCCTGAACATGATCATCCAGCTGCATGAAGATCAACGTGGCCAAATTAGATGCAACAGTGATCTCTCGCAGCACCCCTCCTCTCGATCACCAACAATGTAAAGCAAGGTTGTGTCCTGGCACCACTTCCCTTTACTGTCTTCTTCAGCATGATGCTCAAGTCACAAAGGTTCTTGACAATGGGGATGGAGTCAACATCAGATACCATCTCAATGGTGGCCTGTTTAATCTATGACAATTAAAAGCCCACACGAAGACCTTGTCTGTGACCTCTGCTTTGCCAACAATGCTGCCCTTGTTGGCCACACAGAAGGAGCTTTGTAGCACACACTTTCTGCTTCACAGAAGCTGCCAAATTCTTTGGGCTTGAAGTCAATTTAAAGAAGACAGAGGTACTCCACCAGCCCGCATCTCAGGATGAGTACTGCCCTCTTCACACCATCATTGGTGGTTCATCAGTTTACCTACCTTAGATGTGCCATCATGTCAGATGCTAGGATCAACAAGAAAGTCGATAACAGACTGGCAAGGGCGAGCATTGGATTTGATAAATTATAAAAACGTGTGGTACAACAGACACCTGAAGAAGGGCATAAAGGGCTATACAGCTCAGTTATGGGCCACTTCCCGGCACTGCCTATGACTCCTCTGACAGTTCCACCAGTACTGTCTCCTTACAATCTTTAAAATACACTGGGGGTTAGTTTATCACCAATATTGAAATCCTTGAAAAGGCAAAGATCACCAGCATTGTAGCTATGCTATTGAAGTCCCAGCTATGCTGAGCTGGACAAATTTCCAGGATGGAGAATCATTGCCTGCCTAAAATTTTATTGCATGGTGAGCTCTCTACTGGTTATCATGGCAGAGAGGCACTAAAGAAGCAATTCAAACATTGCCTGAAAAAATTCTTTGGTGCCATTGCCAATGGTCCACCCTAGCCAAGAACCATGATGTCTGGCATTTCACCATCAACCATGCTGTCTCCTCCCTTGAAAATACCTGCAAGGCCACTCTCAAGGACAAGCGATAGAAGAGAAAGTACTGCAACATTATGCAATCAAGCCCAGGTCAGATCTTCAACTACAGCAAATCTACAAACATGACTGCAAACAGTGTGAACAGACTCTGCCTTCGTTTACAAAGCCAAACCATGATTACTTCTAGTAATTTAATGGTTTGGCTATTTGAATCTTCTGACAAATCATAAATAAGTTAATGATTGTATAAGTTTCTTGCAAGTTCTACATCAATAAGAATACATAGGGGAATTCCCCCCCCCCGTTTCATCATTAAATATTTGAGTTTAACAACTTTAACCAGATATTGGAATAACAACCATAAATATGAATACAGATCACTCTTTAAAGAAGGTGCAAATGAAGATTTGAAATCAACAATTAATTTCACTGTAGCTGTTGTTAAAATCTCCCTCTCTCTTTCTTTTTCTCTCTCCCTCTTTTTTTTCTCTCCCTCTCTCTTTCTTTTTTTTCTCTCCCTCTCTCTTTCTTTTTTTTCTCTCCCTCTTTCTTTTTTTTCTCTCCCTCTCTCTTTTTTTCTCCCTCTCTCTTTCTTTTTTCTCTCTCTCTCTTTTTCTCTCTCTCTTTTTTCTCTCTCTTTTTTCTCTCTCTCTTTTTTTTCTCTCTCTCTTTTTTTTCTCTCTCTCTTTTTTTTCTCTCTTTTTTCTCTCTCTTTTTTTCTCTCTTTTTTCTCTCTTTTTCTCTCTCTTTTTTTCTCTTTTTCTCTCTTTTTTTTCTCTCTTTTTCTCTCTCTTTTTTCTCTCTTTTTTTTTCTCTCTTTTTTTTCTTTTTTTTTTTCTTTCTTTTTCTCTCTTTTCTTTTTTCTCTTTCTTTTTTTCTCTCTTTCTTTTTTCTCTCTTTCTTTTTCTCTCTTTCTTTTTTTTCTCTTTCTTTTTCTCTCTTTCTTTTTTTTCTCTCTCTTTCTTTTCTCTTTCTTTTTTCTCTCTCTTTCTTTTTTTTCTCTTTCTTTTTTTCTCTCTTTCTTTCTTTTTTTCTCTCTTTCTTTCTTTTTTTCTCTCTTTCTTTCTTTTTTTCTCTCTTTCTTTCTTTTTTTCTCTCTCTCTCTTTTTCTCTCCATTCATCCAATGAGTTGACTTCTTGGCAATATCTCGGGAGATTATCTCTACACACACCATCAATGGAGGGTGCCTGAAAACCATGCCACAAATTGACCAATCCTTATGAGTGAAATTTGATAGATGATAACATTAGTGTTTGCACTAATACAAAGTCATTGTGACATAGGGTTTCATCCTGATTAGACACTTTCTCCCTCCAAAACTGAGGTCCATTCACTATAGGTGTAGCATAAACCGAAAGTAGGTATATAGTAGGTCTAATACCAGTTTATATAATCAATACGTTTTGTGTGTAAGTTTTATTTTCATTAATTTTTGCATCACCCATATATATATATATATATATATATATATATATATATATATATATATATATATAAAATATAAAAATAGCTGGCCACTTATATTCGAGGATACCTGTCTACTAGGGCAGCTAGCCAATCCCTACTGCAGATGCTTGCTCAGGCATGTTTGTGTTTGCTCAGCACCCACAGAGCCCACTTGTGGTTTATACTGCAACTATCCTGAGCTGACCTTGGTTACAGTTTCTGGGGGAGAGCATGTTAACTAGCATGATCAACAATTTGAACAAGGCCAGCACACTCAAGCCCACGGCCATGATGACTTGTGGCTTTGTGCTAGCACAGCTGTCGACAGCCTTTAAAGGTTCCATCTACCCAATTTTATTTGCAAGGCTTGGGTCAACCTTTGGTGTGGTTTTAAGGCACTTTCAAAAAGTGCCACATGCTGGGTTAGACCTTGATCCATTCTGATACCATCAGGAAGTCTCCTTCCTGACAAATCGACCATGGTGAGATTTTTTCTCTATCTCTCATATTTTAAGATTAATGAAAGATAAAAATGAAAAAAATAGGCAAATAAAAAAAAACAATCAATGTCACAATTTAATTATAATGTAGCCACACTTTTAATTATATTGAAAAAAGGAACCCATTTTTTTTTCTCTCCCCACCCCAATCACTGCCACAAGTAGACCTAATTTTTTTATTACTTTTTATTTATTTCCAACAAATAATTTTATTTGGTGGTAAGGGTGATAGTTATTTAGTAAACTTAGTTTAGTCTGGTACAAGGCAACAGTATTGGTGCATCCAGTCAGACACAAACTTTCTACAGTTGTAGATTTATTTGCAAGCTGTACTTTCTAATCATAATACCATAGCAACCACCTAATTTGAGAAGTTTATATAAACAATTCCTTTCTACTTTCTTACATGAAAAGGACCAGCTGTTGGGATTTTTACTGAGTAAATTTGTCCCCAGCTGAACAGAGCTAAGCTTAGTTTAATTCAATAATTCTTATTGAATTCTCATGAAACTGAAAACTCAAATACAGCACACAAACAGGTTCAAGAAAAGGCTGCAACTAAATCATTATTCATTTTTTACTGTTATTTCTTTCCTCTTATTTTTATTGCCTTTCATAGCTTTTGAAATAAGCAACTAAAATTAAGAAAATGAAAGAAATACCCGTGAAAAATTAAAAATGGCTGAAAATGCTTCATTTAATAAAAATACAAGATGATATTAAAACTATGAGTATAAATAAAGGAACTAGAATTAAAATGAAAGAAATACCAGTGAAAAATTAAAAATGGCTGAAAATGCTTCATCTAATAAAAATTCTAAATAATGTTACTACTACTGAAACTCTTAGAATAAATAAAGGAACTAGAATTAAGAGGAAAGAAATGCTAGGCAGTAATGATTAACTGTTTCATCTAAGAAATTTCATCTTGTTGGTTGGGGGGTCAAGAATATATTATTGTATCCTCAAAAAAAAAAAAAGAAAGACTATAGCTCTTTTTATTTATTTATTTTTTTTTTTTTTGACTCTTGCAAACAGGGCCAATGTCTACCAACCTATTGTTTATTATAATGACAGAATTTGGTATTAAATAACCTGAAAAAAGTTTCATGTGACATAAACCATAGCATCTAAGAAATTACTTTAAAGCTTAATTTACTATCATATTATAATTCTGGTTGTTCCTTAATATAATTGTTACATCCTGCCAATACCTTTATAAATAATAGACTATTCTGTTTTGATCACAAAGACGGGCAGAAAAGACATATCAGAGATACTTTGGTTTTGGTGAGAAAAAGAAAGAAGTGTTTAATTTAACAACTGCTTCAGTGAAATTTCAAATCTTTTCATTTGAACCTTCTTCTTTAAATGAGAACTTGTATTCATACTTATGGTTATTATTGCAATATTTTGTTAAAGTTATTAATCTCAAATATTTAATGATACAATAGATGATTTTCTTCAGATATTTTATAGTCATGGAACTTGCGAGGTGCTAAATCAATCATTAACCTGACAATTATGATTCATCCCAAAATTAGGATAACAAAGCCATGGCTTGGAGCTTCTTACATTTACAATGGTCAGAATAAATATAAAATTGATCTGTTTTAATGGTATATCAACTCTGTCTATTATTTAATGCTAAAAAGATTCTTTTTAAATATATGCTTTGTAAACAATCCTTTGGCTTGTTAGTTCCATCACCCCCCAGTTATGCCTTAAGAACTGAGTTATTTATATAGACCAACCTCCTTCAGGTAGGCTAGGGTCATCGGAACTTGTATATTCTTGAAAAGGTTCTCTCAACCAGTGGCTCCCAACCTTTTTTAGCTCATGGCATACTTTGAACCCAGGATTTTTATGTGGCCCATAAAATTATTATAGTGTAAAAAATCACTTCCATTTTACATATAATATCACCAATAAAGATACAACTATACAATTTCACAAGCATTTAAAATATTCCACATCTCCAATGAAACAACCATTTATTATCAATATTTATTTACACAATTTTTTTTCAATATATGGCAAAAAAAAACACACATACACACACACACACACATACATATATATATATATATAAAAAGGACAGTAAGATATATAATTCGGTGTTCTTATTGATATTTTTTATAAAACGGTGCTCAATGTAAATTTACAGAGCATAAATATTATAAATTAACTGATTTAAAATATGGTTTCTTCGCGACACAGGAATTACCGTGTTTCAAAAACTGAAGCTAAAAACTTCAAATTTAATTATATAATTAAATTAAACAGAACCAATGCTTTTAATTTAATTATATAATTAAATTTGAAGTTTTTAGTCAAATTTTTTGAAACATATTTTAAATTAGTTAAATATATATATATATATATATATACAAATTATATATATATATATATATATATATATATATATATATATTAGTCTTTTCTTGAAAATACCAATTAAATATTAAGCCATTAATAGTTTATGGATATATCCACTTATAAAGATTTATTGGTATATTCACAAAATCAGACTAAAACAGTTTTGTAATGAAATGGTGTAATTTTCTTTCTACAGTCAGAAAAAAAAACAAAAAAAAACAGTATTTTCAAACACTATGAAAATTTACTAATTACATAATCTAAATATATTAAAATTATTTATATAAATTTAATTTCATTAATTTAAAGACTAGTAGTCCATAAAATTTCTATGGCCCACCATTCAATACGCTCTGACCCATTGTGCCTGAAATTTGTTATGGCCCATTTTGGTCATAAGTTTATAAACACCGTTTAAGACTAGTCATGTCATAAAACCATTTATGTATAGAGGAACATACTATAAAAGGTTAGAATATGTTATACAGTATATACCTCCTGATATGGTGCGCATTCGGGGACAATGTTCATTTTTAAGGAATGAGTGATATAGGTGTGTCATATTCTGATTTTTGGTAGAATGATTCTTCCTTCCTTGAAAGTCTGAGACCATGATGCTATTCTAGAATTGTGTTTCAAAAAAAAAAAAAAAGTAGTAAACCTTGTCAAGAATCAATGACATTGCTTCATCTAAGAAATTCAGAAATTTCTCTTTGCTTACGGCCATAACACATTGAAATACCGGTTCTAGAGCCCAGTTAGTACCAAGATGGGTGACTACTTGGGAATACCAATTACTGTAAGCTTGAATGTGTGGGTGTGTCAGAGTTAGCTCCTCCTCAGTTCCTTAATCCTTCACCAGGGGTCTCTCTTCTCTATCTATAAATACTGGGTGACCCTTTGCCTCAGTCTCTCTTTTTTCCTCAGGCCTTGGGCCTTATACCACATCACATTGATGAGGTGGGGTAATTGTTTTCTCTTCATTTCAGTCAATATCAATATGTGAGCTCTCACCACTACAGTGTTTCCCAAATTTTGGGAACATGCTAAGAACAATACCAATACACGTACGTATGAGCACTCACCACAATACACACATATAATATTCATCACACAAACTCAATGTAACTGTCCATGTGCTTGTAACTTGTTAATACATATATTTGTTTATATATAATTATCGGACTTGTGTTTGTTTTTCTTTGTCTTCTTTGGACTTAATTAAAGTCCAACATTCGCATGTAGTGGGACCGGCTAGCAGGAAATTTTAACCCACATTTGTTCTTTATATCTTCACCACCTCGGTTCACTACAGGTGATGTAATAATGGGTCAGAATTGGAAATCTGAGAGCCTAGTTCCAAATCCAATTGGGTTCATTATATTCACTTACATGCAAATATTCTTGGGAAAGGTATGAATATACTACTTCTCCCCCATCTATGGGTTAATTAGTATAACTTTTAACAGTAAATCATTATTAATTCCAAAAATTCTTAATCTAACAATATTTACTGACTTTAAATAACCTGCAAAGATTGATAAGCTAAAAAAAAAAATCAATCCACTACTAAAATTTCTCTGTGTATTGTTCTACTGCGAACGTGTCATTTTTGGGTTACATGTGTTTTATCAATAATGCTGTTGAATAATATTGAATGATTGAATTTTCTCCTTCTGAGAGCATGTTTTTTATTTACTTATTTAATCCACTTATTATTGATAAACACTGAATGTCTCAATTTATTGCATTAACATATTCATTTCAATGTTGAATATCTGAACTCTTAGCTCATGACATCT